TTAGTAATAATTGTACAGTTAGACAATTATGGTGTTGAGTTACATTATCAATTAGTAATAGTTAAGGTGTTACACATATAATGTTAAACAGTAATTGTAACAACAAGCCCAGTATGCCTACAAAAGGACAAATGGATTATACAGCCTGTGACGAAGTGTCCTTCGCCACTTGGTCCTGGAGAGGCCTTCTTGCCAGTCTCCTCCCCTGTGACTATGACTCTTTCATCTATCTGGCTTTAAAGCCCCTAGTCTACCTTCAGACAGACTATTTATGTGGGCTGCTTTATTTATCCTATGTTTTAGTCACCCTGTACCCATTATAGGTGCAGGGTGTGTGTAATGTAATTGTTTATAGTGTGTGTGTGTGTACTGTGTAATGTGTTGCCTGCTCTCTTGTATTGCTGAGGTTTGCTACCAACTAGGTGGGTTTGGCTATGGAGCTGGTCTAGTGCCCTCTGTTGGTAGCAACAGCAATATGCACTACCTGAATTGCAAGACTGGTTCATTTGCATATTCGGGTAGATTTGCATATTGCTAATTCTGCAGGCAGGTGAGATATTTACTGTTAAATATTGTCTCCCCCCACCCCTTTAAAAATGTGCCATTGTGTTGTGATAAGTCACTGTGTGTTTCTTGATATGGTTTGACTGTTTGTGATTTTATTGAGGTTTCACAACAATGTTATTGTGGTGACTGTATTGGCTGGTCCCAAGGGAAATAAAGGTTTTGACAGTTCTTCTTGACCCTTCAAAACGTAGCCTTGTCTCGTTCTTGAAAGGGGAATCTCTGCAGCTTAATCACTTAGCTCTTTTCAGAGCTGCACCTGGTTTCCACTCCTGATCCAGCAGAAGGGAATAGGCGACTCCATCACCACACAGCGACTGCCAGGAAGAAAAGGACGTCCCTAACGGCTGGTACCCTCTCTACACCAGGGTAGCCGTTACATTGGTGGCAGCGGTGGGATGGTCCTTTCATCCACAGCGCAGATGCTGGATGGAGTCTCAATACGCTAAATTGAAGAGACCTACCTTAAAGGATATACTGGAGAACCGGGGAAGGATTGCCAGTAACAGACCACGGAGATAGCTGATCGCAGACCTACTAGAGCTGGACGAAATGGATCGGTCCATGGACGTAACAGAGACACAGAGGCCAGACAGCGAGGAGGACGAGGTCGCCCGCATCGTACAGAGGAGACTGGCCTTCTATCCAGAGACATCAGTGGAGCTGATTGAGCGGCTGTTCCTCGATGCCAAAGCAGATATCCGGGAGAGGAGGGGGCACGAAATCGAACTGGTAAGAGCTCAGCAGCCCATTACACATGCAGTTCCTACCTCCCTTCCGCCTACTACCCCTAAGAAAGTGCCATTTACTGCGTTCAAGGCGTTTGTCGAGAATGAAGAGGAGATCGATGGATATTTAGCCGATTTCGAGAGACAGTGCTCTTTACACCAGGTACCCCCTGACCAATGGGTTACCATCTTAGCTGGGAAGCTGTCCGGCAAGGCTAACGAGGCCTTTCGAGCCCTCACCGCAGAGGATATTACACAGTACCAGCAGGTCAAAAAGGCCCTGTTAGCCCGTTATGCTGTGACGCCAGAAGCATACCGCCGACGGTTCCGTGAGTCTAAAAAGAAAGCCGTGGACTCGCACATGGAATGGGCCAACCGTCTACAGAGAGTAGCCTCCCACTGGGTCCAAGGATGTAACGCCAGTACAGGGGAGGAAGTCCTGCAACTTTTCTTAATGGAACACTTCTTCCAGGACTTAGCAGCTGATCTACAGGACTGGGTAAGGGATCGACGACCCAGCAACTTAAAAGAGGCGGCTCGGCTCGCGGACGAGTATGCCGAAACAAGGAGAGTTAGTCAAGGCTCTCACCGCACAACCAGCAGGCCGGAACCACGTACCCCAGCCAGCAATTTTCGCCCGGAGTTCCGTGCTCCCGTACCACCAGGGCCCCCTCGCCCACAGGGGTCCCCCAGCTACCCAAGAGATGTATCTCGGATGGCGTGCCATCGCTGCAACAACCTGGGGCACATGGCCCGTAACTGCCCCCTGGGGTCAGCAGCCAACAACTGGCGACGACCCTCACCACCTACAGAGACCGCATCACCCCACACTCCTTTTTCGTCCCCACGTACCTCAGCCGCCCATTGCCTGGAGACAGAGGTGGGTCCCAAGGAATGCCTGGGTAGTTTGTATGAGGCGGATCCGATACAAGCTGCCTCCCCAGATAATCGACAACACCATCGACAAGAAGTGCGGGTGAACGGACAGGTGGCGCAAGGATTAAGAGACACTGGGGCCACCATTACATTAATGCAGAGACACCTGGTGAAGCCTGAACATTTGTCCAACCGAACTGTGGCTGTACGAGTTGCTGGAGGAGCTGTGTTCCGTTTACCCACTGCTAGGGTACACCTGGATTGGGGAGTCGGGTCTGGGAAGACCACTGTGGGCATCATGGATAATTTACCCACAGAAGTCGTACTAGGCAATGACATTGGCCCGCTTGCATCAGCGTATCTACCTATGACTGCTGCCGCCTGCCCAGTGACCACACGTTCCCAGGCGTATGCTGCCGATGACCCTGCACCAGGACGGGAGACCCAGGTAAGCCACGACCCAGCCCCTAGGCCAGACCCCATAGAGAGACCTGTAGCGGAACGCCAATAATAAATCCACGAATTCCGCTGGTTCAGAAACGAATCCACAGTCAAGCGCTGAAACAACAAGGCAATATCCCCAACCTCCCAATAACCGGACGAGACACAGTTCTGGGAGTCAACTGACTACCTTTTAATCAGCAGGACAATTTATACAAGTCCCCATGCAAGGGGTTTCCTGAGTCCCTTCCCAGGGGCACTCCCAGAGGGGACTACATGGGGGACTTACATTACTGCATATTTCTCCCATCAGGCACTGCTGCACGAGAGGGATCATCTTCCCAGAATGCACCGTTAAGTGGATTATCCCCTCGTGCAGCAGAGCCGACAATTCACATAAAAATCCATAACTTGGTGAATAAACAGTGGATTTACACGAATGGACGTTTGGTAGATAGCTGGGGTCTGAGGGTATCATTCGTGAGATTACCACTCAGATCCCAGCTAAAATAACCGAACGCCGCACGAACAACACAATTCGTATAAAACATATAAAAAGAACCGATTGCTTTTAGGGAACAAAATACCGAATGTCCTGAAACTCCCGAACGCCCTGGAGGCTCAGCGGGGCTCGTGCCGTCGAGTAGCCGTTTTTAGTACCAGGCGCTCGACGACATAACCCCGCTGAGGGAACAAAGGATCCAAGATGGCCGACCGCTGCATGGTCGGTAGTCGAACGACGGCCACCCAGGAGAGCCTCTAATTACCGATTGCAACATTGTTGCAATCGGTTAACTAGCGCCACACGCCTCTAAGTGTGTGGGCTATTAGGGGGTATCACGTTCGGTTCACGAACGGCCCTCCAAAGTGCCGTTCGTGAAACGAACAGGAATCCCCATACAAACCGCCATTTGCATTCGGCGGAACAGATAATACAGACAATGCAGAAAATACATTAAGCACATACATAAGGGTAAAGCGTATATCTCCCCAGACCTGTAGGCAACCCTTAAAGGTACAGTCTCTAGTTATAGTTCAAGTGGCTAGGTTTGCCACAATGCTCCCCCAGAACCAAGCCGGCATACACAGTCTGATCCCAACGGATCGGCTTGGGGATGTCCGGGGGAGTGCTCACAGATCATTTTTCAAGGTCTGTTTGTCTGGACAACCCGTCGGCGTTACCGTTTTGTTTCCCTGGGTGATAGTGTATCGTAAAGTCAAAGGGCTGCAGCGCCAAACTCCAGCGCAGCAGCCTGGCATTGTATCCAGCCACACGGTTTAGCCACACCAACGGGTTGTGATCTGTGAGCAAAGAAAAGGGTTGCCCATAGAGATATGGCTGTAACTTTTTCAGGGCCCACACCACGGCCAGGCATTCCTTTTCTATGGCGGCGTAGCTCACCTCTCGGGGTAACAATTTCCGACTCAAGTATGCTACGGGGTGTTCTCCGCCATCGGCTCCGACCTGGCTCAGTACTGCTCCCAATCCAAACATTGAGGCGTCTGTGTGAACAAGAAAACGTTTAGTTGGATCAGGAGCAGCCAGTACAGGGGCATTGGTCAGAGCCGTCTTCAGCTGGTTGAATGCCTGTTCATACTCTGGGGCCCAGACGACCTGCCTGGGCAGGTTTTTCTTCGTCAAATCGGTCAGGGGTTTGGCCAGGGCACTGTAGTTGGGCACAAATTTTCTGTAATACCCTGCGGTACCCAGGAAAGCAAGAACTTGGGTTTTGGTCCTAGGGGTAGGCCACTGGGCTACAGCGTCAATCTTTGCGGGCTCAGGCTTCTGTTGCCCGCTACCAACCCGGTGCCCTAAGTACTGGACCTCGGCCATCCCTATGTGGCATTTACTGGGTTTCAAGGTAAGCCCTGTCTCCCGGATCCGATCTATTACAGCCCCTATATGTTGTAATTGATCCGACCAGGTCTGACTGTAGATGGCAATATCATCCAGGTATGCACACGCATAATCCTGGAACCAGTCCAGTAGCCGATCCACCATCCGCTGAAAGGTCGCGGGGGCGTTTTTCATCCCGAATGGCATGACTCGAAATTGGTACAAGCCAAACGGGGTGACAAACGCCGACTTGGGAATGGCGTCCTCGGCTAGTGGAATTTGCCAGTACCCCTTACTGACCCCGGGCCATCCTATCTAGCAGCTCGTCTATCCGAGGCATCGGGTAGGCGTCC